GGCAAAGGGTGTCAGTTTTTCCTTTATAAAGGTGATATAAGCTGTAGGGTTTTCATATATCACTTTTATGATGTTGAGATATGTTCCCTCTATCCCTGCTTGTTGAGAGTGTTTATCGAAAGGGTGCTGTATTTTGTCAAATGCTTTTCCTGCATCTATTGAAATGATTATCTGGTTCTTATCCTTTCTTTTATTAATGTGGTGTATCATGTGAGTTGGCTTGTGAATATTGAACCATCCCTGCAGCTCAGGAATACTCACTTCATCGTGGTGAATAATTCTTTTAATGTACTGTTGAATTCGATTTGCTAATATCTTGTTGAGATTTTTTTGTGTCCATGTTAATCAGTGATATTGGCCTGTAATTTTCCTTTATACTGGGGTCTTTGGTTTGGGGACCAAGGTAATGCTGGATTCATAGAATGAGTTTGGAAGTTGACCTTCCATTTATATTTTTTGGAACAATTTGAAAAGAAAAGGTATTAAGTCTTCTTTAAACGCTGGGTAGAATTCCTCTGGGAAGCCATCTGGCACAGTACTCTTGTTTATCTGGAGATTTTTAATTACTGATTAAATTTCTTTTCTTTCATGTTCTTTTCAAATTTTCTATTTCTTCTTGTTTGAGTTTTGGTAGTGTATGCGTATCTAGGAATTTGGCCATTTCTTTCAGATTGTCCAATTGGTTGGAATATAATTTTTCATAGTATTCTCTTATAATTGTATTTCTATGGTTGGTTGTGGTCTCTCATCTTTCATTCATGATTTTATCTATTTGGGTCCTTTCTATTTGCTTTTACTAAGTCTGGCTAGGGGGTTCATCAATTTTGGTAATTCTTTCAAAGAACCAGCTCTTGGTTTTGTTGATTTGTTCTATTGTTTTTGTTTGTTTGTTTGTTTGTTTCTATGTCTTCTATATCTGCTCTAATCTTTATTAGTTCCCTTCTTCTGCTGGCTTTAGGCTTTACTTTCTGTTCCTTTTCTAGTTTCTTTACACGTGAGGTTAGATTGTGTATTTGGACCTTTCTTGCTTTTTGAGATAGGTCTGAATTGCAATATAATTTCTTCCTAGGGCTGCTTTTGCTGTATCCCAAAGGGTTTGGACAGTCATATTTTAATTTTTATTAGTTTCCATGTATTTTTTTTTAATTATTCTCTAATTTCCTGGTTAACCCATTCATTCTTTAGTAGGATGTTCTATAACCACCACATATTTGAGGGCTTTCCAATTTTTTTCTTGTGGTTTACTTCAAGTTTCACAGCATTATAATCCAAAAATATGCAGTGTATGATCTTGATGTTTTTGTACTTTTTGAATGCTAATTTGTGACCCAGTATTTGATCTATCCTGGAGAATGCTCCATGTGCACTGCAGAAGAATGTGTATTCTGCTGTTTTAGGATAGAATGTTCTGAATTTATCTGTTAAGTCCATCTGGTCCAGTGCGTTAAAAGCCATTTTTTTCCCATATTGATTTACTGCTTAGATGATCTGTCCATTGTTGTAAGTGAAGGATTAAAGTCTCCTACAATAATGAGCTTCGCTATGTTTGTTATTTATTTATATATTTGAGTGTTCAAGTTGGGGGCATAAATATTTACAATTGCTAGATCTTAATCTATAGACCCCTTAATTATGATATGCCATTCTTAATCCCTTGTTATAGTCTGGTTTTAAAGTCTGGTTTGTTCAATATTAGTACGGCTGCTCTGGCTTTTTTTTTTTTTTTTTTTTTGATGTCCATAGCAAGATAGATGGTTCTACATCCCCTCACTTTCAATCTGCAGGTGTTGTTAGGTTTAAAATGTTAGGTCTAAAATGTTGTTAGGTCTCTTATAGTCAGAATATACATTTTTTTTAATCCATTCTGATACCCTATGTCATTGATTGGAGCATTTATTCCATTTATATATGAAGTGATTATTGAAAGATATGAATTTAGTGCCATTGTGTTATCTGTAGACATTGTGTTTGTGGTGATGTTCTCTGGTCCTTTTTACTCTGTGTTACTTTTGGTATTTTTTGTTTTGTTTTGTTTTTTTGTTTGTTTTTGTTTTTGTTTTTGTTTTTTTTCTGCACTCAATTCCTCTGTAACATTACTTGCAAGGCTGGTTTAGGGGTCACAAACTCCTTTAATTTTTATTTGTGTGGAAAACTATTTATCTCTCCTTCTAATCTAAATAATAGCTTTGCTGGATAAAGGATTCTTGCCTGCATATTTTTTCCCTTTCGGCACGTTGAATATATCCTGCCACTCCTTTTTGGCTTGCTAAGTTTTGTGGACAGACCTAATGTGAATCTGATTTGTTCTCCCTTATAGGTTAAAGAATTCTGTTCTTGCTGGTTTCATGATTATTTCCCTGTATGTATATTTTGAGAATTTGACTATGATATGTCTTGGTGATGGCCAGCTTTTGTTGAATTTAATGGGAGTCCTCTGTGCTTCTTGGATTTTGATGTCTATGTTTCCTCCCCAGATTAAGGAAGTTTTCAGCTATAATTTGCTCACATAAACCTTTTGCCCCTTTTCTCTGTCTTCATCTTCTAAGATTCCTATGATCTGAATGTAATTCTTCTTTAATAAGTCACTGAGTTCTCTAAGTATTGTATCATGATCTTTGGCCTTTGTATCCCTCATATTCTCAGCATCATTATTATCCATAATTTTATCTTCTGTATCACTGATTCACTATTCTGATTTATCCATCCTCTCTGTCATGGCATCCATTCAAGATTTCATCTCTGCTATAACATTTTTAATTTTGCCCTGATGAAATTTTAGTTCTTTTCTCTCTGTAGAAAGGAATTCTCTGGTGTCTTCTATTCTTTTTTCTTTTTTTAAAAAAAATTTTTTTTCAACGTTTATTTATTTTTTGGGACAGAGAGAGACAGAGCATGAATGGGGGAGGGGCAGAGAGAGAGGGAGACACAGAATCGGAAACATGCTCCAGGCTCTGAGCCATCAGCCCAGAGCCCGACGCGGGGCTCGAACTCACGGACCGCGAGATCGTGACCTGGCTGAAGTTGGACACTTAACTGACTGCACCACCCAGGCGCCCCCTTCTATTCTTTTTTCAACCATAGCTAATATTCTTATAATTTTGTTTTTAAATTCTACTTCAGACATCTTACTATGTTTGTGCTGATTGAATCCCTGGTCATGAGTTCTATTGTCCGTTCTTTCTTTTGGGGTGAGTTTCTCCATCTCATCATTTTGTCCAGAAAAGAAAAGAGCAAAGAAAGAAAAGAAACTAAAAGAAAGAGAAACACAAACAACAAACAGAAATAAAGAAAAAACAAGGAACAAAAAACAAACAAAGAAAACCAGAAATCCAGATTCTGGGTGTGTTTTGGTTTGCTTGTTAAAAGAATCTAGGTCCAAAAATAAAGTAAAATAGAATAAATACAAACAAACAAAAAACAATAAAAGAAAGAATAAAAGAATATGTATATATAAAAATAAAAATAATAATACTAAAAAGTAAAAAAAAAGAAATTGAAAAATAAAATAAATGAAAAAATAATGAAGAATAAAAGTAAAACGGAAGTTAGATCCTATTTCCCCTAGAGCTGAAGCTTTGCAACACTATGCTCCATAGACTTGGTGCAAGGGAATTGTTTGTGCTGGTTCTGGAAGAAAGAAGTATCTGCTGTGATGATTCTCAGACTCACTTGTTTAGGTGCAAATGTGCCTCCAGGGTTCAGGGGGACGGGGCTTGGTTTAATTAGCTCTGGCTTCCACCAGTTGGTACTGCTTTGCTCCTTGAAGGTTTTTCAGCTCTGATGGGTGGAATGAATATGGCCTTCCCATGTTCTATAAGCTCCTGAGCTGAATGTTTGCACATCCTCCCACACACACACACTCTTCAGGGAACTCTCAGAGAAGAGCAATTAATCACTCCTATTGTGTCTCTGATTTCCCTCAGAGCCCCATATTCACCAGCCTGTGTCCAGGCTTTTTATCTCAGGCGCATGACTGAGTTTCAAAACTCCAAATTTTAGGGATTCCAGGGGTGCAGATCTACACTGATCCTCTGGGATCTTGGAGAGAGACTCGAGAGGCTTTTGCTGGCCCATTTATGTTGGGCGAGGGGGGAGTGGCATGACTGTCCAGCTATTCAGAGTTTATGTCAAAACAGAGCAAAAAACCAGCCCCCCTGCTTGCAGCCCTCAGCCAGAAAGAATCCCCTCTCATGCCTGGAAACAGCATAGCACATTGGCACAACCAGTCTTTCTTCTTACCCAATGGATTGTCGAACCATGCTGTCACTCTTGGGACTCTACCCCGCTTCACCACTTGAGCACTTTAAAGCCAGGCAATTCCCCCATGGCAGCTGTCTGCTAAAAGTTCATATTTTGTGCTCCCCTGCTTATACTACTTTGCAGTAGCCCAAGTAAGCAAGCTTCTTCACCCCAGCTGGACCCAGAGCAGTACCTCCCCACTTAAACTCACAGTACCTCCTACCTTCCAAATGGTGGTACCTTTTCTACATGTAGTCTTACAGGTTTTGTTCACTCAAACCTCTAGTTGGTTTCTTTGATGTTCATAACAATTTGACAACTATCTAGCGGTGTTCAAGGGATGAGACAAGCCTAGGGTCTCCCTAATCCTCTACCATCTTAACTCACTCTATATTTCTTTATACAACACATTGGACAAGACAGACAAGAAAAAATAACACTTTAGTAGTAAAATGCATATAACATACCTTAAGTACAATAGGAATTCAGATAAGTGTTCTGAATTCAATTTTTATCTTAATCAGTCCGTGTTTTCCTCATGAAAGATGGTACCTAAGGTAAGTCTTGCAGATTGTCTAGTTACAGAAAAAAAGAGAATGTCTTGTCTCTGAATCTGCTTCTTCATTGGTAAAAAAAGGGATGATGTTGTCCCCTTCTCTCCTATATAATTGCTATGGTTGAATAAAGTGGCATATGTGAAAATATTTGGTAAATTAAAAAGAATTAAGGACTGGCTAGGCTTACAAAAGAATCAATATGCCTTTAACTAGAAATTTACTACACCCATCCTTAAAAGAGGAAAAGAAAAAAAAAACATAAAAAGAAATAGCTAGCTCAAAGCCCAGATTCCTATTTTATGGATGTAAAATGTTCAGGTTGTTACAAGAGTACCACGGTTTTCAGTCATGATCAGACGGTGTGTGTGTGTGTGTGTTTTTTTTTTTTTTTTTTTTTGTATAGGTTGTTTAACATTGTTGCGCCAGCCAAGAGGAGGAAAGGCCAGACTCACAGAAGGCTTTTCATTTAGAAGAAAGCAACACTAATGATCCATATTAGTGTTATATACTCCTGAATTTGTGTTATATCACAGAGAGCCTTATCAGTTCAGTAATTCCAGTTAATCTATAAAGATAATGTAATTGTTTTTAATTTTGTAAGGTGCACATCAGTTGTCTATTTTGGTGTCAGTTTTTCAATAAATTTTGGCTATGGACAAAAAAAAGCACTAAACAATGTAAACTGTTACTAATACTTGCTAAAGTATGAAAGTGTGAGTGCATGTGATTGATGTGTGTACATACAGCTTAAAGTGAGGGTATTGTTTTAAGGATGGACAACTCCCCTACTACTAACTCAGAGAGTTATAAAATTTCAGGGCAAAGAGGGACCTCAAAGATCATGTGATCTAACCCCATCTGGTGCTTGTTAAAAAGGAGGCTGGAGGAGAAAATGGTCTGGTATCTACTAAGGAAACTGATCTGTGTCTCTACATAGTCATTAATCTCCCAAATTCTGTTAATTTAGAAAATAGTACCACAGATTTTTTTATTAATCTTATAAATTGACTTGAATAAAAATTTTTTATACTTATAATGTTTTTAATAATGTTGACTGAAGTAAAGCATTATATTTATTTCAATGCATACTCTTCCTTTTTCTTCTAATTACCATATTCCAAAAATATGGAAATTAAAAAATTGGAAGGCAATTTTCTTAGATCAGCTTATTGTTTCTGAATTTTGCTCCTAAAAGAAGATTATGTGCATTCCCAAATTAAGAACGTGATTCGATGGGGAAGATGTTCTAACCCAAAGTACAGAAAACAGAGAGAAGAGTCACAGTTTTATCTTTCAGCTCACGTATTCTGGATGTTAATCAGTACCTAATGCCAATTTATCTCAGGGAAGACCACCCAGGTAACTTTAATCAGGTTGGACTTTATAGTAGATGATTATTTCAAGGCAGTTCTCAGTATATACGGCTTAATTCCAAGGGTAATGTTAGTCATTTTTATGTAACTCTAAATTTGCCAAGGAAACAAGAATATTATAGTGATAGTTAAGCAAAACATTAAGGTAATTAGCCTTAGATGAGAAAACACAAGTGCCACTTTTTTCTTCCTTTTTAATTTTTATTTATTTATTTTTATTTAAATACAAGTTAGTTAACATACAGTGTAGTCTTGGCTTCAGGAGTAGAACCCAGTCTCTTACATATGACACCCATTGCTCATCCCAACAAGTGACCTCCTTAATTCCCATTAACAATTTAACTCATCTCCTGAACCCACTCCCCCTCCAGTGATGCTCAGTTTGTTTTCTGGATTGAAGAGTCACTTATGGTTTGTCTCATCTCTGTTTTTATCTAATATTTCCCTTCCCCTATGCAATTCTATTGAGTTTCTCAAATTCCACATATGAGTGAAATCTTATGATATCTGTCTTTCTCTAACTGACTTATCATAATGCGCTATAGTTCCATCCATGTTGTCACAAAGACAAGATTTCATTCTTTATCATCTTTATCATCACGTATCATCACGTATATATCATATACATATATATATATATATATATATATATATTCCATCCATGTTGTCACAAATGGTAAGATTTCATTCTTTATCATCACTGAGTAGTATTCCATTGTGTATATACATATGTGTGTATATATACATATATGTATATATGTGTATATATATGTATATATACGTATATATATACATACACATATATATACACGTATATATATACATATATATTAGATGTTCTGTGTATGTGTATATACACATATCCATTCTTCAGTCAATGGACATTTGGGCTCTTTCCATAGTTTGGCTATTGTTGACAGAGCTGCAATAATCATTGAGGTGCATGCTCCCCTTTGAATCAGCATTTTTTGTATCCTTGGATTAACATGTACTTGTGCAATTGCTGGTTTGTAGGGTAGCTCTATTTTTCATTTTTTAGGAACCTCCATACTGTTTTCCAGAGTGGCTGCACCAGTTTGCATTCCCACCAACAGTGCAAAAGGTTCCCCTTTCTCTGCATGTTCACCAACATCTGTTCTTCCTGAGTTTTTAATGTTAGCCATTCGGACAGGTCCGAGGTGGCATTTCACTGTGGTTTCGACTCGTATTTCCCTAATGATGAGTCATGTTGAGTATATTTTCATGTGTCTGTTAGCCATCTGGAGGTCTTTGGAAAAGTTCCCATGCATGTCTTCTGCCCATTTCTTGACTGGATTCTTTGTTTTTTTGGGTGTTGAGTTTGGTAAATTCTTTATAGATTTGGATACTGACCCTTTTTCTGATATGTCATTTGCAAATGTCTTCTCCCATTCCATCAGTTGCCTTTTAATTTTGTTGATTGTTTCCTTCACTGTGCGTAAGCTTTTTATCTTGATGAGGTGCCAATAGTTCATTTTTGCTTTTATTACCTTGCCTCCAGAACCAAATTAAGGAAGAAGTTACATGCCTGAGTCAAAGAGATTTCTCCTGTAGGATTTTTATGGTTTCCTGTATCACACTTAGGTCTTTAATCCATTTTGAGTTTATTTTTGTGTAGGGTGTAAGAAAGTTATCCCATTTCATTCTTCTGCATGTCACTGTATAGTCCTCCCAGTACCATTTGCTTTAGAAACTGTCTTTTTTCCATTGGATACTTGTTACTCCTTTGACGGAGATTAGCTGGCCATTTATTTGTGGGCCCATTCTGAGTTCTGTATTCTTTTTTTTTTAAATGTTAATGCTTTTTTTTGAGAGAGAGAGGGAGAGAGAGAGAGAGAGCAGGAGAGGGTCAGAGAGAGAGAGGGAGACACAGAATCTAAAGCAGACTCTAGGCTCCGAGAGTCAGCACAGACCCCAATGCAGGGCTTGAACTCATGAACCATGAGATCAAGACCTGATCGGCCACTTAACTGACTGAGCCACCCAGGCACCCCTGGGCTCTCTATTCTATTCCATTGATCTATGTGTCTGTTTTTATGCCAATATCATACTGTGTTGATGATTACAACTTTGTTATACAGCTTAATGTCCAGAAGTGTGATACCTCCAGGTTTGTTTTTCTTTTTCAATATTACTTTGGCTATTTGGGATTTTTATGGTTCCATTAAAATTTTTGGGTTCTAGCTCTATGAGGAACGATGTTGTTATGTAATAGGGATTTCATTGAATGTGTATATTGCTTTGGATATCAACATTTTAGCAACATTTTGTCTTCTAATCCATGAAAATGGAATGCTTTTCCATTTCTTTGTGTCTCTTTCAATTTCTTTCATAAGATTTCTGTAGTTTTCAGCATAAATATCTTTTATCTCTTTGGTTAGGTTTATTCCTAGTTATCTTATTGTTTCTGGTGCAGTTATAAATGAGATTGATTCCTTGATATATTTTCTGCTGCTTCATTATTGGTGTATAGAAATACAACCAGTTTCTGTACATTTATTTTAAATCCTTTGACTTTGCAGAATTCATGTATCAGCTCTAGCTGTTTTGTGATGGAGCCTTTCGTGTTTTCCATGCAGATTATGATGTCATTTGTGCAGAGTGAAAGTTTGACTTCTGTGCCAATTTGGATACATTTTATTTCATTTTGTTGTCTTATTTCTGAGGCTAGGACTTTCAGTATTATGTTGAACAACAGTAGTGAGAGTGGACATCCCTGTCATATTCCTAATCTTTTGGTAAAGCTCTCATTTTTTTCCCATTGAGGATGATATTAGCTGTGTGCCTTTCATATATGGATTTTATGATGTTGAGGTATGTTCCTTGTATCCCCACTTTCTTGAGGGATTTTATACAAAAAGGATGTTGTGTTTGTCAAGTGCTTTTTCTGTGTCTATTGAGAAGATCATATGGTTTTTAAGCCTTCTCTTATTAATGTGGTGTATCATGTTGACTGATTTGTGAATATTGAACCAGGCTTATAGCCCAGGAAAATAATCCTATTTGATCATGCTGAATAATTCTTCTAATGTACTGCTAAATTCAATTTACTAGTATCTTGTTGAGATTTTTTTTCATCCAGGTTCATCAGGAATATTGGCCTGTAATTCCCCTTTTCAGTGCAGTCTTTGCCTGGTTTTGGAAACAAGGTGATGCTGACTTCATATAATGAGTTTTGAAGCTTTCCTTACATTTCTATTTTTTGGAATACTTTGAGAAAAATAGGTATTAACTCTTCTTTGAATGTCTGGTAGAGAGCATCTGAGGGTTGATGGGGGGGGTGGGAGGCAGGGGAGGGTGGGTGATGGGTATTGAGGAGGACACCTGTTGGGATGAGCACTGGGTGTTGTATGGAAACCAATTTGACAATAAGTTTCATATTAAAATAAATAAATAAATAAACATTACAAAGTTTAAAAAAATGTCTGGTAGAGTTGCCCTGCGAAGCCATCTGACTTAGCATTCTTATTTGTTGGGAGGTTTTTAATAACCAGTTCAATTTATTTACTGGTTATGGGCCTGTCCAAATTTTCTATTTCTTCATGTTTGAATGTTGGTAGTGTATTAGTGTCTAGGAATTTGTCCATTTCTTCCATATTGTCCAGTTTGTTGACATATAACTTTTCATGGTATTCTCTTCTAATTTTTTGTATTTGTGTGATGTTGGTTGTGTTCTCACCTCTTTCACTTGTGATTGTATCTATTTGTGTCCTCTCTCTTTTCTTTTTGAGAAGTCTGGCTAGGGGATATCAATTTCGTTTATTCTTTCAAAAAGCCAGCTCTTACTTTCATTGATCTGTTCTAATGTTTTTGTTTTGTTTTGTTTTACTGAGACTCTGTATTCTTTATTTCTGTTCTAATATTTATTATTTCCTTTCTTCTGCTGGCTTTGGGCTTTATTTTCTGCCACTTTTCTAACTCCTTTATGTGTGAGGTTAGGTTGCGTATTTGGGACTTTTTTGCTTCTTTATAATTTTTTTTCTTTACTTTTACTTATTTTTGAAAGACAGAGAGAGACAGAACATAAGTGGGGGAGAGGCAGAGAGAGAATAAGACACAGAATCTGAAGCAGGTTCCAGACTCCAAGCTGTCAGC